CGACTGTAGTTTTGCGATACCCAGCCCATAACTTTCAGTGGGAAGAAATAGCTTCTCTCCCTCTGCATCCCATTTATACACCGTATCTTGTTTCTGTGTAGGGAGTTCCATTACTCTGTAGCTTGGAGGCAGGCAGAGGCAGGAAAGGGGGAAGGGAGGTGGAGTAAATGAAAAGAGGTGATCGAAGGTGCTGGTGCTGCTGTGGCTGGTGCTGTTGATCCGTGCCCCTTTTGATAGAGACGGAAACACGACATGTAGATGTTCATCGATTTAATCACATTTATTTTAGTTATCTCATCAAAATATGAAGTGCAGAGCAACTGGGATAGAGGTAGAGAAATCATTGCTCATTTATTTGCTTCAAAAGAAAATCTATGAAGGATTTGCAAAGAGACATTCAGTTAGCAGTTTAATAGGTACACCTTTAGCTAAACCTGATGCAGACACAGAGGTGCTGCAGTGAATCATGGTGGTTTTAATGTTTAACTGAAATAATCTTATAGATGCATCAATTCCACGTCATGATCATTGTGTAGAAAATGGTTTGTGATGCTTTTGAATTGTTCCAATTTACACAGAGAGATGTTTCTGTTATTAAGCCTACCCTCATTGGTATGAATAGGCAAAAACAAATAATTATAAATGTATTCATAAAGTTTTTTTTCCAGTCTTATCGACAGCTCCAAATACTCAACAGTGCGACCATTCATTCACACACACATTGATACAGCTGTACACTCTGCTTTTGCTTCCTCACACCAGTTGGGGTTCAGTATGTTGCCCAAGGACACTTCAGAATTTGGACTGGAGGAGCTGTGGATCAAACCACCAACCTTTGGATTAGTGGACAACCCTCTCCACCTTCTGAGCCATAGCCGCACCTAAATAATACAAACACCTCTCCATATAGAGCTGTACATTTCAACAGCAGCACAAACTGCATGTCTGTAAATCAGAACCAGCGCCTCTCTAAAACAGTTTCAACAACCTGAACATTACAACCGTCATGCAGGAGGGTTTGTTGCAGGAGTGTTGTAGAGGTTTGAGCTATTTGTAGCTAACAAACAGAAAACTGAGTGCATCCTGTGATACAGGCAGCTCCGCTCCTCCTTTATGATGCATCCTGTTTGTCTTCTGCAGCTATTTACACACATGATTAGTGAGTATGCGAACCTGACCTTGTTATTGTGGCCTTGATGAATGTGAATGCCATGTGTAGATGTTGGTCTGACGCTACCCAGATACGATATTTAACTAACACAGCGTAATCCTTCCAAAAGTCTTCCTGTTTACACCGGCCAGTGAGAGGTAATTTCTCAAAGTATCCCTCCCTGAAAGTGTTTGATCGATGACTGGCAGCTTCTCCTTCTCCTGCGCATCGTAGAGCGAGATCATGATGTAATCCCACGCAATTAGCCGTGACAATTAGATGACAGTGACATAAAAGTCATGATGATATTTAATCTGTTTTGGGGAACCCGTCAGGGGAAAATGCAGTTCCATCGTCCATCATAACATGAAATGACGTCCCACTGGAGGCCCTCCAACAGTCAGGAGGAGGTTGGAGTTGACTGTGCCATCTTAAGGCCTCAGCTTAAGCTGTTTAGTAATCTTGGCATCCTCTCCTCCCCCTATTACCATTGTCTTATTCAGAGCCTCTCCCTTGTGGCACGGATCATCATGATATACATGCAAGGATACGCCTGTGTTAGTGTGCGCGTGTGTGTGTGTTTGATTTTTGAAACAATCCACCATTTCTCTATGCACCACTTGAACACTTAAGCAACACTGTATTTCCATCTGTGTGTGTGTGTGTGTGTGTGTGTGTGTGTGTGTGTGTGTGTGTGT